ACATCACGTGTTCGATCTCTTTGATTGATTTGCACACAAACGACGACAAGTCCTTCACGTAAACGCCAATATCGGGCCTCTCTTTAAGCTCTAGTCGTAAGCTCTGGTCTTTGGAGAGCAGATCCCGGACCTCCTCCTGATATATCTCCAGATAAGAACTTCTGACCAAATATTGTTGATTATGTGATCGAGCGATACAATTGAAGATCTGTTCAAAAGAGTTGGGAATAATTCCCGGTTTGTCAGCCGAGCCCTCCATTGTGAACGTCTTTCCGGTGCCGGTCTGGCCGTACGCGAAGACCGTTCCGTTGAAGCCCTCCAACACTGAGTCCACTAATGGCCGGAATATCTCTTCGTAGAGATCCGTTTGGTTTGAATTCCAGTCGTAGACGGCGTCGAAAGTGAATATCTTCGGCGACTCGTCCTCACCGGTGGACGACTTATGGATTTGAATGACTCCGCGATCGCAATACATATCGATTATCTGTTTGTGTCCGCCCTTCACCTCCTTATCACTCATCGGTCGGCAACGGACTATCACTTTAACGGATTCACTCTTACTATTGGATGTCCTCGACTACAGACACAGCAATCAATACATGCATAACATGTTAGCTATAAGTGTGCGAAACAAATGTCTTAAGACTCACGGCATTGGAACCGATGGACAGTTGGGAACCGAATTCACTCGAGTTTGCCATTAGTTTTGCCTTCAATTTAAACACTAGTTGTCAAAGACATCTGCGCTTAAGAAGAAGAAGAGATACAAATGAATGTATGTTTGCTTTCAATGAATGCATTCATAGGAATATTCTGTACAAGAATTCAATCAATAATTGTTTTAAACATTTCTTACGATTAAAAGCAACGAAAGAATGAATTAATGATTGAATTAATGAACGAATGGTTTCTTAATTGATGTCAATATCGATCAGTGAGTCATCGGTTGACTCGACGTAAGTGTGAATACAATGTTCTAAACGCTATTATTGTGTCATTTCATCGATGACTACAAATTCATCCCATATTTGAGTCCTATTTATGACTCACTTATGACTCAATACTTACTCATCACTACTTGTCCTCCAAATTGTGTTCACATTTCTTGACGTTATTTATTGTTTACAAACATTTCATACGTTTATTGAATCAAACTTTTTGTGTCAAAACAAGTGATAATAAATGGCGCGAAGACTGTCACCAAATGAGACCAATTGATGAGATATTAGTTGCTATAATAGACACCAATTGACAGGTTATGGCGGAAAAGCCCGAAGACTTTAATATGCCGTCTAATGTGGTCGCGAAGATCATCAAAGAGTCGCTGCCCTCAGGAGTGAACGGTAAGCGTGTTTTGACGACCACTTCTTGTTGTGACCATTGATTGATTGATTGTCTCATTGGATGCGTTGACAGTGAGTGCGGACGTGAGGAGCGCCGCCTCCAGAAGTGCGTCCATTTTCATCCTATATGTGACCACTTGTGCCAACTCTATAGCCATCGCTAAATTGATTGATTGATTGTCTCATTGGATGCGTTGACAGTGAGTGCGGACGTGAGGAGCGCCGCCTCCAGAAGTGCGTCCATTTTCATCCTATATGTGACCACTTGTGCCAACTCTATAGCCATCGCTAATAAACGGAAGACATTGACGGCTCAGGACGTGATCGAAGCCATGAATCAAATCGATTTCGAAGACTTCGCCGAAGAGTTGACTGCATTTCAAAAGACATTACAAAAAGATAAAAACCAAAAACTCAAGAATAAGTCGGAAGAGAACACAGATTCACAAGACTTGGATCACAACGAAGATAATGGCGAAGAAGAGGACGACGAAGAAGACGAAGAGGTGGAGGACGACGACGACGAGGAGGAGGAAGAAGACTAATCTATTGCTTATAGGCGAATGGATTACATGTTTTAATTTTAATAATGAATAAAGAGCGGCAAAAAAGTGATACAAATATTTCAATTGTAATGTTTTGGTCGACCAGTGTTTGCAAAGAACCAACAATTAAGCCCGAGTTTTGACGTTAGGGTTTGAAACTTCAAAATAATAACACTTTTTGCCCGCTGTTTAATAATGGATTACAAGTTTATATATTTTACATTACAATTACATGAATGACAAAACATTATTCATTAAAGAGTTTTACAAATAAAATACATATTATAGTAAATTAAATTTGACGTTAAACTCAATCATTGATGTAATGAACTCTTGAGGCAAAGGCCGCACTGACGGCGCTTAGAAAGCTGGCGGCGAATACAGTGACCCGATTGCTGTCAAATGCCTGTATAAGAGTTCCCATCACTAAAGACAGTAAGAACTGCGCTAAGAATACCATCGATCCGACGACCGCTATATCTGTTCCCAATCCTCTGGGCGTCGATTCGCCCGAAAGCTGTTTTGGAAATTAATTTACTGTTATATGAAATGAATGCAAGGGTTAAGAAACTGACCGAATCTATGAACTGGTATTTAGCGATCAATACGTAAGGCATTGTAAAGAGAGTCGAGTATTGAATGCCAGCACTAAATGAGAAGATTAAGGAACAGAACTTGTTGTGAGCCATACCTATAGCCAACATTCCCATTGAGTATATGATTCCACTTCCCATATACAACACTTTGGCTCCTAATTTAGATCATTATTCAAATTAGTATTGAATTAATTCTTAAAAAACTTACCAAAAATATTGAGTAGATTTTGGAAATAATATGAATAAAGAGAACACGAGATTGAATAGAAAGTCATACAAATACAGCCGAATTTAACTCCATTTCCATATAAAACATATGAATCGGAGTCAACCGCAGCGGTTGGGTCACCACCGAAGACAGATTCGGCCACAAAATCTGTGAAATATAAGGAATAACAGATGAGAGACATCCAACTGAACAGATTTGTTAGGCATAGGACGCGAAGTGAGTCCGGCATTCGCACTATAGACCACATATAATCAGTAAAGGTTGCCGTCGACGATACCATTGGCCCGATTGGACCAGTATTTGCTTTATGACTACACAGAGGATTCATTTCATAGGATTCTTCGGTCATTCGTTGATAATTGCTATGATTTGTTGTATTTTCTTCAGAAGAGAGCGAATGAATTGGTATTTCTTGAAAGCTTGTGATCGTAAGAATGAGACAAATGATGAAAGCAATGGCACACAAAAGAAATACAATCCTTTTGTGATCTGAGATATTGAGTAGATTTTGGAAATAATATGAATAAAGAGAACACGAGATTGAATAGAAAGTCATACAAATACAGCCGAATTTAACTCCATTTCCATATAAAACATATGAATCGGAGTCAACCGCAGCGGTCGGGTCACCGCCGAAGACAGATTCGGCCACAAAATCTGTGAAATATAACGAATAACAGATGAGAGACATCCAACTGAACAGATTTGTTAGGCATAGGACGCGAAGTGAGTCCGGCATTCGCACTATAGACCACATGTAATCAGTAAAGGTTGCCGTCGGCGATACCATTGGCCCGATTGGCCCAGTATTGGCTTTATGACTACACAAAGGATTCATTTCATAGGATTCTTCGGCTATTCGTTGATAATTGCTATTTAAACAACATAAAAGAAGTCTTCTCTCGCTTACTTAACCATAAAGAACTTTCGAACACTAGCATTCTTACTCTGTTTACTACTTTCGTTACCGTGTGTTTTCTTTATGTTAGGAAAACACTAGACTCCCGAGAATATCTTCGATTATACGAAAGTTTTCCCAATTTATACCTCCGATAAGATACCCGACCGCTCCTCCAAACCCTGCCATAGCTGTAAAAGTACTCAAACCGATGGCGTGATCGTCGGGTAGCGTCACCTCAAAGAGTAGGGCCCGACTCGGGGACTGACACGCGTCGCAACAGAAGTCCAGTAATACAGCGCCTATTATTGTGAGGAATACGGACTCAAAGTGGGAATTGTCTGCAAATATATAACTCGATATATAGCGACTGTTGGGAACCAAAACCAATCCAATGATTATTCCTGTGCTGTAGAAGAGTATGAATGGTCGCCGACGACCGTATGATAATTGGCACGAATCCGAAAGTGAGCCCAATATTGGCGCCACAAAGAAGCCAATGAGTGGACTCAAAGACCAGATGATTGCTGTGTTGTTAATGGCTATGCCGTACGTGAGAAGAGTTGGCGTAACGAACGCTGTTTCGGCCGAATAGCAGAACTCTATTCCGCAAACAATACTACTAATCAGTATTAACTCTTTTCTCGTCTTCGGTCTCATTATATCGCAAATTGTCTTCTCATTCATTGCGCTCTCAGTTTGTGTTTTCCGCTCACAAAACAGTATTCAAAATGGTTTGTCTTTTCGGTGCAAACTTTGAGATCGTTGTGAGACTAACAGCGAAAGAGAAATTCTTATATATTCTGTGAAACAATTTCTCTCCAATCGATGAACGATATCCTACTTTTGGTCTTACATTTTGGATCAAATAAGTAATTGTTGTGACAAACTGTTGGATCTAATGTCTTAATTTGTTGCAAAATACTAAATGAAAGTGAGTTCTAAAGCAATAAAACTCATATTAGAGTTAATAAGTAATTACTCTTTGAATGCTTTCTCTCACAAGTAATTAATGCGAAACAATATTTGACTCTTTTGTGTATGAATTTGGGACTCAATTCCCAAAGTGTTGAAAGACATGATAAATAAATTATATACTAAAGCATCTAATGTTTTGCTTATAATTGTCTATAATTATGATTAATTATAATTTGTTTGTTGTTTTAAAATGTTTTCATTCGTAAAATATATTTATTTGATATTCATTTGTTGGCAATATTTGGGAAACAAGAAAATATTGTATTTTATTTATAATTATAAATATTTTAAGTTATTTGAAAGAAAAGTTGTATAAATTAAATGACTAGCGTTTAGAAAAACAATTTGAGTGCAAATCTCAGCACAAAACCAACATTTTTAGCATTTATACGAATCAATCTTTGGATTTAAATAATTTCTAAATAGGATTTTGTTTTTTTTAAAATCCAGATTTAAATTAATTTTCAATTGCTTTTACATTACTGTTAAAAAATAAAAGTTATACAAAAAACTAAAACATAAAAAAATAAAATAAAATATATCAGTAAATTATATTTGTATACAATTTTTAATTTATACTTATTTTCCTAATAAACTAACACTAAATTCTTTATACAGTAATAAATCGTCAAATAATTTCATATATTTTATAACTTTAAGAAAATTTTGTGAAAATATTTATAAATTATAACCAAAAGAATTTCAATCATAAAATTAAGACATTTTGAATTTGGTATAAAAAATGATAATTATTTTATTTATTTCTTTTTTTATAATCGATATATTATTATACAATTATATTTGTTTTAAAGACATCAAAATATATATAAATAGGTTTCAAATTTATCTACTTTTCAATTAATAATTATTTTATTTTGAGCGCACAATACTTTTTTCATAATTTTTTTGCGATAATTGTTGTAATAATTGTCGATAAGTTATCTTTTAGTATAATTTTCAAAGACATACACTATTTGTTTTGTTTTACAAAATTAATATATATTTATATCTCAAGAGTAAGACAACACACACTTATAATCTCATGATTAGTGTGTTTTTCATAACTGTTTTCCTCAGAGTTAGAGACGATAATACAAAATGAAAGGAAAATCAAGTAAAATGAGTACAAATATATTTAACAAATAAATTCAATTATTAGGACAACTATAATATCAAAATTGTTGTAACTTTGCATTCAAATACTGTTATTTTGTCATTTCATATAGAATTTGTTTTTTGTTTTGTAAAAGTTATACAATTGTATGTAATTTAGTTGTTTTGTATCATTTCTTATTATCAATAATATTATTAATTTATGTTTATATTTAACTTATAATTCAAGGTTTGATTAATGAGTGAAAAATGTTTACATAATTTAAAATATGAACGAAATGTCGAATCAAATTCTTGTTTGAATAATAAAATCATTTAATATTTAAGTGAATAATAATATGTAATAATAATAATATAAAGTTAACGAACCGGGAGATCACAAGAACATGAATTGATTCGATTAAATAATATACAAAAATGACATTAATGCAACTTTCAAACGCATATTTATACATAATTCTTATATATACTGTATATATCAATCAAATAACTCCATTTAATAATAAACTAAAAAATGTAAATTACATCCGATTTGTTTGTAAAGAGTTGTCGATTTTTCTCTAATTATTTCTCCAATTGTTTGCATAAATTTCAATACGAGTTATACAAAGGATTTGTTTGAATAAATCTCAAAAAGTATGCTTTTATTTGAATATTATGTCTGCACTGCATTCAGATTAGATCACAGATTATTCACAGGTGGGGGAGAGAGACGGGAAGGGGAGGGGGTTAGGAGATAGTGAGAGAGTAGGGTAGGGCAGGGGCTGGTCATCATTACCATCAGCTGTATTGTACATGTATTTGAATCTTCATATCATTATTAGCTAAAAACAGAATTAATTCAACAGAAAGAGTGTTAAAAACAATAATTGGTTTTGAAATGTTAATAGTGAGGAGTGCTTTGGTATTGCACTTTCCATCCCATCATTTTCAATAAGAATTTCAATTATTGTTTCTTTTTCTCAAACAATTTTCAATCTAATTAATCATTTAGTTTACAACACATTCAATAGCAGTGATTATAAAAACATTTCATTCTAATTATATTAAATTATATTAAATTAATTTTGGGTCAAGTAATTAAAAAACTCAATTCGTGTCTACTTTGGAGTGCATCTCATAAAGAAGTGGTTTAATGTTTTAGGGTATGATTTAGCCATCAATTCATTCAAAAATTAACTTCAATCAAAGGAATGTAAATTGTATATCAATTGAATGCATGTATGAATGCATTACTGTATATATAATCATATAAAACGAGTGTTGATTGCAATGATATTTGAATGTATGGATACTTTCAATGAATAATTGTTTAGCAGATCTATAATCACATATTAGGGCGAGAATTGAAGAATTGAATAGTCTTTGGTTCGAAATGAGGTACAAATAATTATGACTTGGATTAGAGTAAGCGGTGCTATAGTACTGGTCCAGTAGTACTACGTTTAGTGCTATACTTGGCTTTAGTAACGAAACTCATTTTAATGCGGGAAGAGATCTAATACTTATTGCAAACCAATGCAATCGAGCTCTCAATTCATCTATAAATACAGAGTTAAGTCATATGAGTAGCGAAACCATATGAATAGCTCTGACACTAATGCGTAAGTGTTTGCATAAATTGTTATTTAAAAACTAAATACATATTAAGAGAGGATTGGAAGTTAAGTTATAAATTAGTTTAAAATGAATTGACAAATGGTTCTAATGAAGGGTTGGGTCAACCGAACCGTTCCTTGACTAGAAACATGAGCTTCTTTTTGCCCTTATATACCATTTTCATGTTATCAATGAGTGATACGAACTGGTGGTGACCGTCCGGTGCCAATAGGAACGTCTCTCTAGCCTTTCCCAGGAACTCAATGAAGTCGCCGTAATGTCGGGGACTTATGTGTGTGAGGCGTGAGTGAGTTGTGTTCACGTAAGCAGTAATGGCCGCGTCCAACAGTTGTCGCAACGGAGGCTTATCTAATGGCAGAGACTTTAGACACCGACGCTTCTCACTACTACACGTGCCCACACCCGGAGCGCCGATTGAACACCGCCTCAGTATGTCTGACAGGACAGGAGCGCACTGAACGTTCTTCACTAGTAGTGGCACCAAACCGGACAACTCATTCTTGCCGAGTCCGTGTGCGAGAGCGCACGCCCAGTGAACGTCGCTAATCGACGGGTGATTATCGCCGTTGTATGAAATGTGGACCCCTTTTGTGGCCAAAACGGCCAGTTTGTAGGCACGTAAGGGATAGCCCCTGTGCTCCATATAACGGGCGACAGTGAATAGTTGCGAGCTATTCATTACACCCGTAGAGCCGGCGTCGCCTACTATTTGATAGGCGGCCTCAAAGGCCAACTGATCGCTCTCGCAGAGTGTCAGCGCATTGAGAGCGCAATTGGGCGGGTCTTTAGTGGCGCACTGGAGGGCTAGCGTTCGGGCGCACGTCGATAGCTCTTCCTGTTGACTGAAGTCCAACGCGAGTCTCATAACAGTCGAGTGAGACATTATAGAGCTGGCGACCGGACCCGTGGCTTCGGTGGGCGTGAAGAGGCCGTACCAGCTCTGCATAATCGAGATGAGGGCGTCGAGACCCACTTCGGTGGCGCACGTCACGAGCCATCTAACCATATCTCGTCGGCGCCAACTCAACGACGACAAAGTCATTCGCATCACTTGTAGGCCTAATTCAAAGGAGGCGGTGAGGAGGTGGCCGTGACGGGGGCCGCCGTCCACTGGCGCCGCGATTCGGAACGCGTCCTGAGCCAACTTAAACAGTTGAGTCGAACTGTGAATATTACGTTGTGCTGACTTCAACACTGATCGCAATCGGTTGATATCACTCTTGGCTGCAGACAACATGGTTGAGGCGAGAGAGCACTGTTGCATCTCTATGTGTGCTAATGTAAACCATCGCGGATATCGACCCAAAACGCCGCTATGAATACCGATCCCATTGTCATCGATATCGTCGTGATCTTCGAGTATTGGAAGCCTTTCAATACAAATCATTATAATTAATATATCTGTCTATAAGTGTGACCAACGAATGGATGTCATACCTCATGGCTCTTAAGCCGACATTATATGATAAGTCGTGATCAAAATTAAGTAAAGCGTTGAACATATATTTGGCAAATGTATGCATCGGAACACTTTCGGGATGAACGCCAGTTCCCAAACCACTGAACGGTCCGCCATCGAGAAGTGTCATCGTTTGTCGTCGAAGAACCGATAGTAATGTGGAGTCGAGTTCGATGTCTTGCAATTTGGCAATCATGCGGTCCTCCTGTTTGCACGCCTTTTCCTGTGCGTAAAATCCGGCCGGCATTAGCCTCTGTTGACCCAAACCTATTAGACCCGATTCCATGGCTAACGTCAAATAGGTTTCGCTTCTATCTCTAGTTCCCGGCACTACTATGTGCTGATATCGAGGCCTCTCTCTAACCACCGAAACCGCAAGATTTGTATTATTGTGTGTCATTGAGTCTTCGGGTATAATGGATGCCATTTGACTATTAGTGTTAGTGTTTGTAGTATTTGTATTGTTTGAGATCTCAGTCGTAAAGGAGCCGTAATAGGAGTCCAAAGGCTTGCACTCAGGCGTGAGTGAGGCCTCCGCTAATGTGTCGAACAGTGAGCCAATCGGGTCGAGCGGGTGTCCGATCCAACCCTCGTTATTGCAATGTACTGAATGGGAATGTGTTGACGTCGATGTCGAGGCTATTTGCGAATCAATTCAATACAATCAATACAATATTCATTGAATGCAACCAAATTGCAAGTATGCAACCCTTACCGCTGGGTTTGGGGTCCGAGTGCCACATATTCTGACAGTCGGACTGATGTTTCTTTAATGTTCTGACTATAGAGACGGCCAAACGTAGGGCTTCTGATCGGTAGCCGTGAGATCTGAGCGCTTCAACTCTGGCACAAGCGGTTGGGATGTTCTCTGCGTTTATTCATCAATATTTTAATACATATCCTCTCAAAAAGTCATTTCAATTTAAATCAAAAATCTATGAGTTGTTAATATAAAATATGCAAATAATTTATTTTATATTATTATATAATGTTCTTATATTTATTCAAATTATATGCCATTCATTAGAATTGCAAAGAATTTTGATTTTTTCTCTCGAATTTGAATTTTATTGAATTATTTTAATTTTGCTGACAATCCATAAAATTACTCAACTCTTCACTACACGTTTGCCATCAGATTTTGAAATAATAATAATTTTAAACGTAAGTAACATTAAATTTTCAAACTTATTAATTCTATCAGTAATTAAATTCAACAATTATTTTGTGGGCTTTTTGTGAACTATACTATCGTTTACAATATTAATCATAAATTATAATTCAGAATATAAATCAATTATTTATCTAAAGAAATACACTATTCATTCAGTGAATCATTTATTTAATAGTTTTATAATAAATTCAAAATTAATTTCGTTTTCCTCTAACAAAAACAAGATTCAAAAGCACTGCAAAGGCGGACATAATATAATCATTTTATAAATTATTAATCCTTTGATTATAATCTTTCCTATTTCGGCGAATTTAGACCACGTTTTAAATAAATGAGTCAAATGGAGATATAGTGAGTAAAGGGTGTGCAAAACACTGTACATACCGTTCCAAAGGGGGTATCCCTGATAATTGAATGAATCGGATGAGTGGGGCTCATAGAGAACGGGCCCGTCGTGTTCCAGAATGAACCTGAGATGGGAGTCATCCCATTCCAGATGACTGGCTTCGAGCGCCCGATGGAATATAGTTCGAGGTAGTGATGAATTCGTTTGGTTCGATGACCTCCGGGATAAAATTACTCAACTCTTCACTACACGTTTGCCATCAGATTTTGAAATAATAATAATTTTAAACGTAAGTAACATTAAATTTTCAAACTTATTAATTCTATCAGTAATTAAATTCAACAATTATTTTTGTGGGCTTTTTGTGAACTATACTATCGTTTACAATATTACTCATAAATTATAATTCAGAATATAAATCAATTATTTATCTAAAGAAATACACTATTCCTTCAGTGAATCATTTATTTAATAGTTTTATAATAAATTCAAAATTAATTTCGTTTTCCTCCAACAAAAACAAGATTCAAAAGCACTGCAAAGGCGGACATAATATAATCAAATCATTTATAAATTATTAATCCTTTAATTATAATCTTTCCTATTTCGGCGAATTTAGACCACGTTTTAAATAAATGAGTCAAATGGAGATATAGTGAGTAAATGGTGCGCAAAACACTGTACATACCGTTCCAAAGGGGGTATCCCTGATAATTGAATGAATCGGATGAGTGGGGCTCATAGAGGACGGGCCCGTCGTGTTCCAGAATGAACCTGAGATGGGAGTCATCCCATTCCAGATGACTGGCTTCGAGCGCCCGATGGAATATAGTTCGAGGTAGTGATGAATTCGTTTGGTTCGATGACCTCCGGG